GTTTTGAGAATAACTCGGACTTATCATGTTTCAGCTGTGAATGAGTTGTTGTAGAATTCATAGGGAAAATGTAGAATTCTATAGAATTCTGTAGAATGTCTGAAATGTAGGAATTCTGCCATTGCTGATCTGAAATCGTATTAAAAAAGTGTTTATAGACTTTCGGACTGCTTCTACAGTAAATATTAAAATCCTTAGCCAAAATTGTGACTCTATGCTTCGACTTTAGCGTTTCGTTAGATCCGACAAGTTTTTGCTCAGAAAAACTTACTAATCGCACATTATTGGATGCCGTTTAACCTAATGTGACTTTTGGCACTCAAACATATGGATTTAGCCTAGTTTTTATAGAGTTTTTCTTACTTATAAGGGAAATTGCCAACTACTTATTGCGAGATTGATAATAAAAGTTGACTGCATATCAAAATACCTGTTACCATTAAGTTTTATTTGAAATAGCGTTCAAAACTGTATGGAGCTCATCATTGCTCACGAGCTTCAGTCGAAATCTCTGGAATTTCAGGTGACGAAATAGTTATGAAAAGTGGATTTTTCGCTCAGAGAAGAAAATAGGCGACGTCAGAAGTTCTTTCATTCTGTGTTGTAATAACGCAGAGGACGCAGTAGAAATGTGACAAATATAAAGACATTAAAATCTTATCTCCAAGCAATTCACTGTGAATTATGCGTTTTGAGACGAAGATAAGAAGAAAAAGCTGAGTGTTAATTTTTTTCCCCAGTTACTGAGCAAGGAGAGGAAAGAAGAAACTGATATGCTTTATATATATATATATATATCACAAAGTTTTTATTCAAAATAACCGATCTAATATATATTTTCATTATTTCTAGCTGTAAACATTAAGTTTTTCTTAAAATTTCTTTTACCATTCGAATGGATAACGATAATTTTTTGGCTAATTTAAACGAATTTATTCAAATAAGCGAACAAATCATTGAGACTCTAAAATCAAAATTAGTTTTGATTGAGGAACATCATACAAACTGCAATGTTGCCAGAACAGTCGGCACTGCGGCAACAGTAACTGGCGCAGCTATGGTAATAGCTGCACTTCTTACGGCTCCAGCGACAGGTAAAAAGGTTTTATAAAAAGCATGAAATAATTAAGTTTTCCAGTTAATTATATATTACAGGTGGTACTTCAGTTGTAGCCGTAACTGGTCTCGGTTTTACAACAGGTACAGCAGGAGCTGCCGTAAATGTCACAACTGATATAGCTGATATTATAAAAACAAACAAAGAAAATAGTGAAATCATGATTATCTGCAGAGGAAGAAATAATGTAGCTGAACGTTTGAAAAAACATTTTGACGAGCTTGAACGAGTAGCAATTGAATTAAAACAGCTGAATGTCGAAGAAACAGAAGCTTACGCTTTATCATTGCTTAACTTGGTTAAAAAAGGTAATAGCGTCAGAACATCTGCTTCAAATATACAACGGCTAAGCAAATGTGCAAACCTGGCAAGTGGAGCTTCTAACGTGCTTTTACGTGGAGGAGCAAATTTTGGAAAACCATGAGACTTCAATCTGAAACTTTGATGAAAGCACTCGGTTATTTTGGTTTTAATGTGACCAAACAAGGCGCCATGGCAGTTGTTAGATCTGGTACAATAATACTCAGTGGAGTTTTTGCTATACTCGATGTTTACTCGTTAATAAACAACGTTGCAGAGAATCATCCGACTGCAGATGCTATTTCTGAAATGATTGAACAGATGAACGAAGAATTGACCGAAAGTATTAACATGAGAAGCATTTGCAATCAACTTGCTGAGACTGATGAGAACGAATGGGAAAGTCAAGCATGATGACACAACACATTCGGTATTCCTCGCTAAATGTAATATAAAGCTTCTTCCAATTCTTTCGATTTTTTAATAATTCAGAATTTCTGATCCTCATAGGAGATATTTGATTTTCTGAACATCAAGATTTTTGTTCCTCAAAGAAATCAAAAAAACAGCAGTCCTTCTCCAGAAGTCGATTTAATGGAGATTGTTGTAGCAGTGTGATGTTCGAGAAAACAAAAAATGAAGAGCTTTGAAAGAAAAATCGCGGGCCAAAAAACAGGGACAATACGGAAGAGCCGTAGTTAGAGAGAGAGGGCTGCGTAGCTCAGTAGCGAAAAACCAGGAAATACACCACCAGCTGGGCGTTTCAGAAGTCAAAAAATATTAAAAGATTTATCTAAAATAAAATATTGCAAAATAATTGAAAGGAAGGTTGGGGAGCAGAGCAGTTTGAATCCAGTTCACTTAGAAAACTGCATTTTATTTAAAAAGCCGCGAGAAACGACGCTTTTCAGGTTAGAATCGATCCTCTGCGGCCTTGCTATACTCAGATGTGTCAGCCGATCCGCCACGCCGCCGCCGCCGCCGAAAACATCTTAAAATATCACGCCGCCGCCGCCGAAGGTGAAAGAAAATTTTGGGACGTTTCGCCGCCGCAGCGTACACGAAAACTTTTTTAACTCCTTCTCGGATTTTTACAATAGTGCAAGATCCCTTTTTACCTCAATGTTTCATTTGATCAAAAAAACAGATTGTCGGAAACTGAAATCAACAATGTTCACGATTGCGATGTAGCAATGAAAAGAAAGGGAGTTCTCAAATTTTGTCGAGGATGGTTAGCGTTTTTTTTTTGATCGACGGACAGAAAGCAGAAGTTTTGCTTAGTACAAAATCGAGCTGACAAAAAGTGTAGTTTCATAGATAAAGTTCCAAAGCAATTGGGTTCATTAGTATCGTCATCAAACATTGTTATGTAAATCAGATTAGTATTATCAGGTTTTGAGTCTAATTTTGCAAAAAGTGCATTGAGATAAGCAGCGACAGCGTTCTGGGAGGCTAGACCAATATCGACCTGTGGTACAACTGTGTGTCAAACAAAAAAAAAATGACAACTACCATTTTTCCAAACCACAGGGCGGTCTCGAAAGAAAGGTTTCACGGATCGGGACCTATGATGGTCATATGATCGCGAGACGTGGGGTCAGAGAAATGTTTATACAGAGGGGTAATAACTTGAATAAAAATCTTGGAAACATTCCGTACTTAACTGAAGACATCTTGTTCAAGCTTTCCAATCGGTACGCCTCATTTCTGAAGTCGCTTCACCAGTTTCGTATTCGAAATATAATAGTTACACAAACTAAATTTTTGGAAAAAAGAACCGAATATTTAAAGTGCCAAAGTGGCCCTAAACAGAGGCTACGAAGAACGTGGGAAAATGTGCGAAAAGTTAGTCGGAACCTGTCTTTTGGATTATAAAGAATGCCCAAAGTTGATTTCGTGAAATTCCTCTAGTGATTAATAACTTTGTACGAAGTATAAATAGAAGAGTGTACATTTTATGTGATATCACACAAGTGATTTGGCCCTATTTCGATTTCCTAATTTTCGCGATTTACCCCACAATTCCGGGCCTTGGAAAGTAACGTTCATCCTATTTCCGCGATTTAGCTCTCTACATTTTCACGATTTTTTGGCTCAGTTCGCAGTTGAGAAATATTATACTTACAAAAACTTGTATAGGGAAGAGTTTCACTCTCTAGATCTCCTAAGGACTATGCTGAAAGCTTTTTTCTCCGAGTTTTTTGTGTTTATCAGTCTAATCGCATTCAAGCAAAAAAAAGTTTATTACTACTACTACTACAAGGACCAACTGATTTCAAAACCAACGTCTAAAAATTTTCTAGAACTTTTAACTTCGAAATTGTTCATAAAATCGTCGCTCTCCAAAAGAAAGAAAAAGTGAGAAACCGCTTAAGGCTCTAGAAGTTAAAAAAGAGTTGAAAAAGCACATGTAAAAGGCTCTAGTATAAAAGTGGTCAGTACTTTATAGTCGATGTTGTGGCCTACATGGCTCATCGCTTTCCCTGCTAGCGTAGACTGCAGCGATCCCAACTATCTAATAAACCTTCTAAATCAAGAATATGTGCACTTATATGATTTTCGTTCTATTCTGAGCATCATTTTCTTAACAAAGTTCTGTAACTCCAGAAAATAATTCCAGAATCGTGATCACCGTCTTCGAAAGTATCATAAAGTATCATACTTTCGAAGACGGTGATCACGATCTGGAATTATTTTTTCATTTGATGTGGTAGTTCGCAAGACAAATAATAAATAGTAGATTTTTTTAACACACCGAGATTGACCGTCTAGAAAAAGCACACACTTTCCAACGGGGAGTGAACGTTTAGAAGATTTACATATCTAATAACACACTTTATTTGTGCAATGTACGTAAGATGGAAAAAACTGACAACAGTATACTATTTTATATTTAAAGTGAAAGCAAAGTATGGTGTGCTCTACTGCAACAACAGCAATAATGAATTTAAGATTTTTGGATCTGGATAATGAACCATTGAAAATGCTACTTCCGATCGAAGACTATCGAAATTTTGCATTGATATCATTAGAAAAAGCTGTTGAATCTATTCAACATTTGTTTGATAACGATTTACAATCAAAAGTCTGGATTACAAAAGAACATAGCCAAAATCCTTCCTGATGGTTTAACACAAGATGAATCCGCAGCTATTCAACTATATACGCTTGAATGGTATCCTAGTGATCGGAGTTTATATTATCAATTAAACCAAACACTACGTCTGGAAGATCGTCAGCAAATGATACCATGGTTCTCCTATTTAAAATTGTTCCTTGCAGCTTTATTTAAATTACCTAATGTTAAAGCAACAGTATGGCGTGGAGTTAAAAGTGATTTAACTAGTCAGTATCCAAAGGGTCGTAGATGTACATGGTGGGGATTAAGTTCTTGTACTGAATCAACTGAAGTTCTGAAACAACCACAGTTTCTTGGCACAACAGGGACGCTGTTTTCGATTGAATGTTTAAACAGCAAAAATATAAAGCAACATTCATATTTCCAAACTGAAAGTGAAATATTATTGATGTCGGCTACATATCTGGAAGTTGTAAGCCAACTTAATGGAGGTGCTGACGGGCTACATATCATACATTTAAAAGAAATAAAGCCCCCACATCCATTACTTCAATCGCCTTTTTGTGCTAGACAAACTACGATTCAGTCGCAAAATATCATTAATAAATCAGTTAAGTTACCAACCTGGAACCAGTGATGCTAGGAAAGTCACAGAAAGCGAATGAATAAGATGTGAGGAAAAGCATTTGAATAATGAAACAAAAAATAAGTCTTTAATGTATAATAAACAAACAATCTGTGTGTACAGCTTTTAAAAACCAAGTCAAAAGTGACAGCATTTGTAGTGACTGTTAAAGTTTTTATGCATTTAATCTGATTTTTTCGAAATATGTATCGATTGTCAAAATTTCAGATTCATTTAATTCAATTAAATAATTTTCATTTTCAATCATGTGCACTATAATGTTGTTTAATTCCTTTTCTGATAAAGATTGACGATATTTTTCTAAATAATATATACATTGCACGAGTAATTTATGAACAAGCTTTCCCATTTTTATTTCATAAATAGAACTTATTCTACTATAAATACATCCTGGTTGCTTAAATGCATCATGAATACATTTATTTACATCCAACCCAAATTCCAATTGTAAGAAGATACACTTAAGAAATGCAATGCCATCATCGGATATATAACATATCATTGGACCATTGATTCGTTGCATCACATGATCTATTAATTCTTGTAAAATTGAACTGGATGCTGTTGTTAAACATCTTCTATATAGTGATGGTTCCAGTTTTTTCATTGAACTGGCCCAATCGATGAGATAAACATTGTCATTATGTAAAACGATATTTTCTAATCTGATATCGCAGTGAATAATGCCAATTTTGTGAGCTGAAATTAAAAAGAAGTATCAGACCAAACCTTAGCCAATCGCAAGGTTAGAATTTCATATTTCATCATTTTTTACAAACGAAGGGATAACTTCTGCCATGATCTCGTTAATCTGAACGTGTAAGCTCCATCTTCTAAATGAAGTCATTGGCAGAATCTTTGCCACCAGAGAGAAAGCATAATCAGGAAATTATAAGTGTCCTGGCAGCGCCTTACACGTTTCAAAAGTCGTGTAGTATGAATATGTATATAAATCACTGATTCTAAAGGACCCCGCCGGATAAGATCGTAAATCTGGCCGTCCCTCAACTTTATCTCAAACGTATACCAGAAGAAAGCTTACATGTTCTTACATGCTTCGATGTATCTTTTTTGGCTTTGACTTGAATAGAAAAAAAATTCCTGAAGTCATTCTCATTTGTGGTCATATATACACTATCGCCTATATAGCCATACATTGTGCCCTTCAGATTTTTTACATCAAACACTTCTTTCTAAGTTTTCACAATAGAAACAGATGTATCTTGCTTCGCTCTTTAAAATGCATCCTGATGATCGATACTCACCGTCTTTCTTCTGAAGAGATATAGGATTTTCCAGCTCCATTAGCATCAATTTTTTATATACATCCCCAGACATGGTTCCAGTGCAATACCTCTTTCTTTCACATACCGCCATGAACAAGAAAAAGCTTTCTCAGAAACTGCGCTGTCACTCCCTCTTCAAAATGCACTAATTTCGATTAAAAAAAAAGTGGGCAAAGTGACTTTGGAGATTTAGCTTTCCAGAAAACCAGTTTTTCAGAAACTCTAAAAAATAACTTAAACCTTTCTTAATAAAGCATAATTGTAGCTCACACATTTCTGATTAAAATGAGATATCTCCTGGCTCTACATGACCTTTCTTTGCAAAGTTATAGACTTAACGTCGATTGAGAGAAAGAACATAGAAAAAGTCCTTAGATATAGTGCATTTTTTGAGAAAGAAGACTTTTTTAATCTACACAAAATGCCTGAAGAAACTGTGCGACAGCAAAATTTATATTTAGGA